TGATTTGCTGGGCGACAATACCAAAGAGGAAGAGGCTGATATACTCCAATGGTTTACAAAGAATAGCCATCATCGCAACACGTCCGTATTGTACTTGACACAAAACCTCTGTGCTTCATCACCTCATCATCGCACCATTAGTTTAAATGCCCACTACATGGTGCTGTTTAAAAACCTGAGGGATGCCTCTCAAATGGATCTCTTGGACAGACATATCTTTCCAGGCCAGACGACCTTCGTTTGGGAAGCCTATGAGGATGCCACCTTGGCTCCTTATTCCCAGAGCTGTCATGGAAGACAGACGGAAACAGGTCCGGCCCCGCAAACATGTTGTTGCCACAGTGTTGTTTAAACTGATCCATAAAACACTCCTGACCAACTTGGGTCGTGATCCCACAGGACAACATCGATCGGGTGTACAACGGTTGTACAAAAGTCTAAGTGCTCCTCCTCCTCCCTCTGCTTCCTCCTCCAAACAAAGACGTTCCTTAAAGCAGTTGTACCCCACAGCACCCACCATGAACACGTTTGTCCCTGTCAGTATGCATCGTGCATCTCCTGCCGCCTTCTCTCACCCTTCTTCTTCTTCATTGCCATCGTCTCGCCTCCCCCCCACCATGATTCAACCCTTTCAACCATTGACCCAACGTCATACCACCGGCACGCGCAGTGGCATCAAACGCCCCAGCCCTGGCACCCAACGACGCACCAACAGAAGCCACAGGAGCATGCCCGGTCGTAGAAAAGTCAAACCAATCATCGTGAAACGACTGCCTTCGGCGGAGAACGTAGCTGTCAAAGGACGCCATCAGCTGCTGCAATGGTTTGTCATTGCCGTGAGAAATCTGCGAGCAGGACGTGTTCCTTTGAAGACTCAGTACAAGACCTGGCTGTTGAAGCACCAAGACGTACTGACCAAGATTTCCAATCCACGCCTGTCTGTGGATGAACGTCTGAATTACCTGATGAAACGTAGTGGAAGTGGTACGTTGGCTGGTGTTTTGACCCGTATCTTCCTGAACTGGCAGTCCTATCAACAAGAAAAACAGCAGAAGCAACAGCATCCAGCACCTCGTCGCCGTCGTGCCCAAAAGAAACCCCGGGGACGTTGCAAGCCACCCACCCGAAAAGAGAACAAGGAGGAGAAGAAGAAGAAGGAAAAAGGGTCACTACACCCTCAGCCCAGGTGCAGCCTTGACCCGGATGGTGCTAAGAAGTCAAAAGAAGAAAAAGAAGAAGAAGACACCGTCATTACCATAAATAGAACCGTCCAACCCAATCTTGGTCAGTTCAAAGGTAGAAGCAGCAGAGACACCATCATGTCTGCACGTTTGAAATGCCACTAAGAAGCTCTCTGTTATGTGTGCAGTCCTTCTGCAACACCAGCCATGTGACAGGCTATTTTGAAACATGCCCCATGTGAACTGATTCAAGCTGTCTGTGAATTTGTATGGAGGTAACATTCCTATGACAGCACAGCAACGTCAACGTTTACAAAAGCATGGCCAACTGATACATACGTTGATGAAAAAGAAGGTGTCTGTGTCCAAGAAACGTAAACTATTACAGCAGAAAGGAATTCTGTCTCTCCACATTCCTCCAAAGATTTGCAGAAGAGGGAGTAAGCTTTGAGACCTCGCCGGGGAAGAATATCTAACAATTATCTGACACGGTCAAAGGAGGTTCGATGGTTTTCGATAATTTCAGCCCTCATGAAGATAGTAAGGACTTTAAACTCTATCAGTTTGTCGATCACGGCTTCTACCTGCTTTACAGCAGCCAGGAGGGCAGAACAATTCTCCCTAAGGATATCGCGGTGAACAGCTTGCATTATTTTCTTTCTTTCTTAGACAACAGAACCTGTAGATTGTCTATAATGTCTCTGACAGAAACTCCCCTTATATATACAGTGTGATGATGACGTCATAGGGTGAGTGTCCTTGGACAGCAACGTGTTGCCCTGGCGAAGTCCTCTGCGAATGATTTGTGTGGGTATGGCACAGTGATGCTGACGAGGTTGACAGACGAGGCTCTTCATGCTGTTAAAGTTGACATCTTGGCTCGCCCTGTGATTCAGAGTAAATCCTCGGACTTTGCCGATGCCCACACTACCGTCATAGTGAGGATGACGTAGCTTGTAGCCATAGTTTTTGGGTCCTGCCGAGACAAAAGTCTGACTGCTGTTGCCCCTCTCCTCCCTTACGCCAGGGGCAGTTTTCACACAGTTGATCCAAGGCCTCGGAAATACAAGTTGGGAACATGAGTTCCTTGATCTTGGGTACATTCAAAATTGTAGAAGATGAACTGACGCTGTTGTCGTTCTTTGTCTTCATCCCTGTTTTCACCGTCTTCATCTTGTGTGGGTGGTTTGATGACGGTCATGTAACACTGGTGGTTGGGTTCCATGGGTTCTTTGCAGCCTTTGCAGTTATGATTTGTGCCGCACTGGTGGCTGGCAATGCCCTGAATTTTTCTCCCGTTGACTTTGGCATAGTATCTATGGTAAGTGTGGACGGTGGAGCAGGTGCTAGGTTGCTTGGCGGAGGCCGTCAGATGCCGTTGAAAGCAGTAAGGGTTTCGGAACCACCCGCCACATTGTAGACAGGAGAGCCCTTCACTGACCACGTTGCCACAGAATCCAGGACATCAACACCAGTAGCATTGAAATTCTCGGGTGCAGCGATGATCTTCAGCGTTGCTGTATCCTTAGTCACAGATTTCACAGTAGTAGGGATAACCTGTAAAAGCTGGCATGGATGTAATGACATCGTAATGTTGATGGTGATGATACAAGTGAAGGATCTTGGTGGGTTGAGACACTTCACTCTTGTACAGGAGATGATTTCATCATATCTTGGGAGTAGATTTTGAGTTGGTGGTAGGGTGCCAAACGTTGACCGAACAGTTCCCATGTGGCATGCCCTGTACAAGGGCCTTCTGGAATGTTGAGTTGACGAAACAAGCCCTTGGTGGCCTTCAACTGCGCTGGTCTTTTCTCGCTACTTATGTACCGCCATTTGCTGGTCCATTCCTTGGTCACAGGATCAGGTTTGTATTCATGGTAACCCGCCTGAATCAGGCACAGGCAAAGCAGAGTTTGTCATCATTCTTGGGTTTTTGTTCATGGTAACCCGCCACGATCAGGGTACAGGCAAAGCAGAGTTGATCGTTATTCTTGATTTGTACAATGCATTTCTTCTTTTCCAGGAAGGCATTTAAGCCAACAATGTGTGTTGCCCGTCCGTGTCCCTGGCCTAGGAGAGCCGGATCGTCTACGTGTAGTAAGTAAATGGTGTCATCGATATGCAACTCGTGGTTACTTTCCTGTACTTTTTCCACTTTGGCCATAATGTGTTCCTCCTGGAGGTCCTCCATGCACCGAAACGTGATTCGGATGGGTGTATCCAGGGCTGGGCGTTCAAGGGTCAATCACACGCAATCACCATCATGCCCATTCACATTGTCTCTCAGGTCTAGCAAAACAGCATCAAACTGCTCTCTGAGAACGACGGGTAAGTCTTCAGGTTGTTGACGCTGCAGCCAAGCTTGGTTGAACTTCAGCTTATAGCGATGGCTGTCGGTCCGGAACTTTTTGGTTGTTTTTGGGGACGTTGGCTCCATCTTCGTCTACTTCAATTGGTGGTGACTGCACGATGAGAACTGCCAAGACCCACACTGAACCTGGTTTATATAGACGTCACCCTATGACGTCACCCTATTCTGTCCTAAGAGTGGTGTGAGGCAATATGCGCAAGGAGGTGTGTGAGATCATTTGTTGGAAAACACTATGGCGTCACACTAGGTTCATCATAAAGGGTGGTGTGAGGTAATTTGCGCCATGAGGCCATTTTGATTTTTGGAGTGATGGCGTCACAGGTTTTCTTCTATTAGGTTTTTACCATAGGTTTTGCCCATGACGTCACACACAGTATTACGTCACGCCACACTAACCCGGCGGCCAAAGTGACGTCATCAACCTCAGGTATAAAACTCAGGTTTTCTAGCTCTCCGCATCAGTTGCTGACTGAAACTGGAAGCATGCAGTCGTCTCCCGCCTCCGCCTCCTTCCATTGACACCTTTGCGAAACAGATGACCACAGTTATCTGCACTGCCCCATGGTGACCTGTACCGAGTGTGGTGTTCAAGGCCATCGTCATTACATATGTCCAAAGAAGACCAACGACAGTAACAAGCACGATAACAACACCTGCTACAACTGTGGAAAAAACGAAGGCCATCGCAGTTACGACTGCCCACACCCCTGCCGGTACTGTGGTAAAGAGGACCATAAGAGTATGAACTGCTCTAACAAGACCCAGAAACGCCCAGCTCCCACCAACCAGCCAAGTGAATCGCCAAAGAAAGTGAGTAAACGTGAAAGCAAACATCTACTGGCTCTACTCAATGACAGGGTCCTCCTCGTTCATGATCGCGTAGACACCATGCACACTCTACTACAACGTGTCTTGGACTTTGTTGAACCCATGGACGATTCCACCAGTACCTCCTCCAGTGGCCCGCCATCACCTAAATAGATGCCATGCCTCGGTGATGTCTCACCCACCAATACCAACGGCCCTTTTCATCCCGCTCAAAAGAAAAAAGCTTTAACAACACTCTTCTCTAAGCCTACATCGTCCTCCCCACTCTCCCTCCCTCCCTCCCCATCCTTCCCCGTCCGTCGCCATCTTTGAAATGCGTTCCGTCCGCCATCTTAAAATGCTGTCGCCATCTTGAAACGCAGCCGCCATCTTGAAACGCGTCAGCCATCTTGAAATGCGTCAGCCATCTTGGATCGCTCCACCAGATATGCCGCCATTTTGGATCACGCCATCGGAAGTGCCGCTATCTTGAAAAAGATCCCAGGGAGACGTTGTTGACTTAAAAAAGTGTCCCATCCAGTCAGGGCACGAAGATATGCACGCAACAAATGGCCAAGCCTATCTGTGACGTCATCAAGTACATGTAATCTATTTTAACAGGGGACCTTGATACTTACCTCAGCCAAGAGTAGATACTGTCCACCTGAAATAATGAAGGTAGATATGGTGAGTGATTAAGAGGGATTGAAGTGAGTTGTCTTGGACGCCACTTTGAACGATTCGATTCGATTTGATTCGATTGTTTATTCAGTAAAGACTTGGGCTATATGCCCCTCGTCATCATTTTACACTGTATACATGATAGAAAATCCATTGAAATATATATATTTTTTACATTTACAAAAAGAGGCTGGACAAAACAGTTCGGTACTTACATGCATAACTATATGTATTTACATAATTTTGCAATACTATCTTTAGATGGGATCGATATTTTCATAACGCCCAGTTTCAACTTTTAATTTATGACACGAAATTCGTAACATAGTTAAATACCTCACAGTGATTGGATGTAAAGCATCTAAGTATATTCATATCCAAATTCACATTTGATATTGCTGTATAGCCATAATATATACTACTTGAAGTAATGTCATGATGCCATTTTTGAATGAAACAATCAATTAAGCGTTGCTTAAAATGACAACAAAACGTACTAGCGTCAACACATCCTGGGTCACACCAAACATATCCAAAACCATATATAAATAAAACATTTTTAACATGGAACACCCAGTTTTGGATGCCATTATTACACTGTGATAACAACAATTCATAGGTTAATTTAAGGAGACAACTTTATGAACAGTATCATTGTTATAACATAGGGTGTCAGATTGATATGAGAAACATACAACCCCACAGGAATAAATAAATAAAAACACATCTCTCTCTATAAATAAAGGTTTACCACGATGGCGAAACACGTACACATGGTCATGGTACCGATATATGTTTACAGTGAGTTAGTTAGTTTTAGGCCTCATTTAGCAATATTCCAGCATTATCACGGCGGGGGACACCAGAAATGGTGTCTCACACATTATACCGATCTGGGGAATCGAACTCCGGCCATCGGCGTATCGGGCGAGCGCTTTAACCACTCGGCTACTACACCGCCCCGATAAACGTTTACAAACTGTGGGTACAGATTTACGTATAGCATAAAGCCATATATGGTTAAAAAGTATATAATTAAAATTCGTACTTTTCTTCCAGCACAGATGGTGACGTGACACTGACGTCACACGTTAATAGTATTATCATAGAAATATGGGTCTCAGCTTCACCAGGCTCTCTCTGGGGATGATGTTTAGCTTTTGACATTAAGGATCACTGACTGACGCCTCAGCAAATCCTAGCTTCATTATAGATCAGATAAGTAGAATTGTCCATCAAGTCATGGTCAGTGTATTCATAATCAGACGTGTCGGAGATACGAACCCAGAATCACGAGTCACTGCTACGCTCAAGGGACACAACTCTGTACAAACTATTTCTGTGAATAAGATGACCTGGGGGACAAGTGTAGGACTACTGTATTGCCCAGGGGCAGCTAACCTTCTCTGTATCGTTGTAATGTTACTGCGTATTCTGAGTAGAGAAGGGCAGATATAACATTCCAAGAGAAACAGATTGTGTAAATTGTACATAAAATGCAATCGAAGATGAGCTGTGCTTTGTTCTCGTATGCCCTTACTACACTGATTTAAAAATAAAATATCTACCGCAGTATTACATTTCCCAATACGTGTAAATTTACGCTGTTAAGCTGTTAGCCTAGTGGTTAAAGCGTTGGCTCGTCACACCGAGGACCCGGGTTCGAATCCCCACATGGGTACAATGTGTGAAGCCCATTTCTGGTGTCCCCCGCCGTGATGTTGCTGGAATATTGCTAAAAGCGGCGTAAAACCCAAACTCAGTCAGTCAGTCAGTCTTCTCTGGGACATAACAAGTAAAGCACCCCAAGATAACTGAGTAACGATGTCGGTATGGTGAAGATTTCTCGTGGTCTTATAGGCATTCTGACCACTGTGATTACCCATTAGAATTACTACTTTCAAAAGCGAGTCACGGAGTTCTTGAAAATACTATACTCACACACTAATACTCACCAATTAAACACACAATAGCAAAAACCGCGTTGGTAGCCATGATGTGCGTACCTGAAAATAGACACAAAATTATTTATCATTCTTCACATTCCAAAACAGTCCTTTCTATCAAACTCATGTCTTAAATATTTCTAACTGGATATTTAGTGAATGGGACAGAAGTCCACAAGGTCGATTTTAAAGGCTTTTTCAGTTAATGCTAAGACGATACAGAACTGCCTTGGTTCCGTGACGGATCATGCTTTCTGCTTCAGGGCCGTGACGGAAAATCAACCTTTTAATCAGAATTGTGTCGCCCAGGTTCACCGATATGATGATAGTGTCATGATGTGGGGAGCTATATCCTACATGCAGCAATCTAACTGTTTGCGCTTTCAGGGCAATTTAACTGCTATTCGGTTCGATGCGAAATACTTCCGATCATTAACCGCCAGAGGAAGTTGTTCCAGCAGCATTATGCCAGGTCTCACACAGCACATGCCACTATTCAATATCTTCAGAATGAGAACATTACAGTGCGTCCATAGCCTTCCAAATCGTCCGACCTCAACCCCATCGAGCATTTGTGGGATGACCTTGGCCGACGCATACGTGAACGTCAACCATATATCTTATGAACGCACCACCATTTCTCTTGATCACCACCCTTACACAACGCATGTGATGCACGTGCACAACGAGTGTCATTCTTGATTTTGACAGTTTTCGAGAAGGTCGATAAATCACTGTATTACAATAATTTTGACGATCATCTTGCATCACACAGTTGTTAGTGTTTGTGTCTAGCCGTTTTTGTTTTTTATTGTTTGAAAAGAAAATCGTACACATGCACATTTCACGTCACACAGCAATCATCTTTCAAAAGCTTTTACTGTACAAACAACTATGGTCATAAGGAAGTACAAGTGGTGATCCACCCTCAAAACATTCATTATTATCAGATCAACATTGATTGACTCCGATATATCTCCCAATTGTTTTCAATTGTTAATTAAAAATTAAGTCCCCTTCTTTACAAAGTATAATACAGAAGCACAAATAGAACTAGAGCAATAACTACAGACAAAACAGATCGATCAGCACTCCTGTACAACCATGTTGTGTAAAATACCATTCTATATCATTCAAATACAAGGAAAAGTGAATTGGGGCTACAGATTCCCCTTGTCTGATTCCAACATTACAATCAAATTTCAAAGTTCAAATACATTCGCCTTGATACCATCATTTATTTATCAAAAAAGTAAACATTTTCTCACATATACTTAACGAACAACAACGACAACAAGCAATGTTCTGCAATTTAAATGAATATTTTACATACCAAGGAAAGATAGAGCTGAACTTGATATGAATGTAGAGGAAGGCTGCGCTTTTACCTGACCACCTCCGTCTTGTCTACCAAAGTGTTTGCCGCACCAACAAACACCTATAGCTATCATACAAATAGGCTCCCAAGGAAAGGCCTTTCATTTCCCAGGAATTCAAATCAGTGGGCAGGATGAAAAAATATACATATAAATGTTGTGCAACAAGTATTTATTATCACAACCGTGATCACAGCACAGTGCATTGCTCTGACCCCATTAGTAATGTTCACTTCTACATTCTGCTCATTTACCCAGTTCTACAAAGTGCGATGAAGCTTTTCAAGGGGTTCATGTCAAAATTACTTTGGTTATTGAAACTAATATATCTGTGTTCATGAGTTCATATATGAAACCGTCATCCTCCATTATGTATTTGGCGATGAATGGAAGATGGGTGGACGTACGGATGGATGGAAGGACCGTTGTATAATTAAATGGACGGAAGGATGGATGGATAGATGGATGGGCAAAGTGAGGGATGGACAGAAGATTTTTGGAAAGCAGCTTTTTAATAGTGTTTTTTTCACAATCAATCATTACATTTGCAGTAAAGAACGTATATTCATTAACTCAGATATCAATACAGGCAGTGTGAACAGTGTGGTGTAACAGAAGAAGAGAAATGTGATTTCAATACGGTAGGTAGGACATGCTGACCCTTTAAAGCCTACTGCAAATCAACTCAAGCTGTTTTGTGTCCCCGTATCAGGACTGGAATTCGTGATAGCATATGATACCCATAACTTGCTGACACATTCTCCCAGGGAAAACTACTTCAACTGAACTGATGCACCAACTAGCACTCGTCTCAAACACCCGATATCGTCACTAATAGCTGATAAACAAATGCTCTGTCATCATATTTCAGTATGTCAATCACTGCATTGTATGGTCCACACTCGATACTTCAAGAACGCCGTTACAGAGCGCTAATATTGCTCAGTGAGACGGCAAACACACACATGTTCGCAATAGAATCAAAATTGTACAATCAAGTCCGCTTCTTTTTCGTTTAGATGTAGTTGGAGGGTTGCAATGAGTATGGAGAGGCACAGACTAGTGACAGGGATACAGGTAGCTGATCTACTGAGGGACATGTGCACAGTGACAGGGGACCTCAGTGTTTGGTGGGAGGTCACAGTAGACAGGGGTACAGGTTACAGGTGTATGGAGGGCAACAGGTACTGGTAGTGACAGGGCACAGAGTTACAATGTGCGAGTGGCAGGAGAGGCACATGTATGGAGGGACCAGAAAGTGACAAGGCACAGGTAACTGATGTATGGAGAGAGTCATGGAGGGACAGGTTACATGTATGGAACTGGTACTGAGTGACCCCAGTGGTACAGGTTGCATGGAGGGACATGTGGTATGCATGGAGGGACTGAGGAGGCACAGTGTAGACAGTGACAAGGGTGGTAATGATGTATAACCTGCTGGTAGTACAGGGTAGGGACAGTGTGGACCAGTGGAGGACACAGGTTACAGGTACAGGTTACTGATGTATGGAGGAACAGTGGAATGGTAGTGACAGGGGTACACTGAGGAGCACACTGTGGTTTACGGAATGATTACTGATGGAGAGGCACAGTGTACTGGTAGTGACGGGATACAGGTAGCTTACTGATCTATTGAGGACAGTGTACTGTTGTGATGGGGGTACAATGGTGTATGGGGTCAGTGTAAGTGACAGACAGGGCACAGTAACCGGAGGACCAGTGTACAGTGACAGGGGTACTAGGTACTGGTGTATGGATTGGACTGTGTACTGGTATGGAAAGACCACAGAGTGGTGTATGGAGGGAGAGTGTCCTGGTACTGACGGGGGTACAGGGTGGTGTATGGAGGGACAGTGTGCTGGTAGTGACAGGTACAGCTTACTGATGTATGGAGGAGACAGTGTACTGAGTGACAGGGGTACAGGTGGAGTGGACAGTGGGTACAGGTTACAGGTTACTGGTGTATGGAGGGACACAGGTAGTACTGGTACTGTGTATGGAGGCAAGTCGCACTGGACAGGGGTACAGGTTACTGTAGTGAGGGGATGACAGGCAACAGTGACTGGTATGGAGGGACAGTGTACTGGTACAGGGTACAGGTTACTGATGTATGGAGTGGACACTGTAGTGTACATGTAGTGACAGGGGAACAGTGTGCAGGTTACTGGTGTATGGAGGAACAGTGATGCTGGTGAAAGTACAGGACTGATGGTTAGTGCTTAATGTAGTGACAGGGGTACAAACTGATGTATGGAGGATGGAGTTGCAGGCACAGTGTACTGTATGTGACAGGTACTGGTAGTGACAGGGATACAGGTAACCGATGCATGGAGGGACACAGTGTACTGAAGTTATAGGGACAGGGGTGCATGGAGGGGCACAGTGTACTTGGTAGTGACAGGGGTACAGAGTAATGGAGGAGGACAGTGTACTGATGACAGAGGGTACAGGTTACTGGTGCATGGAGGGTCACAGACCAGAAAGTGACAGGGGTTACTGGTGTATGGAGGGAACAGTGTACTGGTAGGACAGGGACAGGTTACCGAGGAGGAACACACGGTAGTATGGAGGGGACAGGTGTACTATGGAGAGGCACAGTGTAATGGTAGTGACAGGGGTACAGGTAACTGATGCATGGAGGACAGGTACAGGTAGTGACAGAGGTGATGACAGGTACACATGGTGTATGGAGTGGAGCAGACAGTGTACTGGTAGTGACAGGGAAAACTGGTACAGGAGAGGGACTGGTGACATTGGAGGTACAGGAATGTATGAAAAGTGTAATGAGGGGTACAGGTAATTGATGGAGGCGGCAGGTCTAATGGTGTATGGAGGTGACAGTGTACTGATGGTATGGAGAGGCACACTGGTAGTGTAGGGAGGAACAGTGTAACTGATACTGACGGAGGTGGACAGCAGTTTACTGGTGTATGGAGGGGCAGTACAGTTTGTACTGGTAGTATGACAGAGGGTACAGGTTACTGGTGCATGGAGGGAAGGAAAATGTACTAGTAGTGACAGGGGTACTGGTGTACCAATGGATGAAGTGTACTGGTGTATGGAGGGGCAATGGAGGAGAGTGTAGTGGTAGTGGTACAGGTTAGGTGGAATGGATGAAGGGGACAGTGTGCTGTTAGTGGAGGGACAGAAACTGATGTTACTACTGGTAGTGATGGGGTACAGAGGTGATGAGTACAGGGGAGAGTGTATGGAGGGGGATGCACAAAGGTATGGAGGGACAGTGTACTGGAAGACTTAGGGTACTGACAGGAGAGGTACAGTGTACTGGTAGTGGATGCCTGGTTACTGGTGTATGGAGGGACAGTGTACTGGTAGTGACAGAGGTACAGGTTACTGGTGTATGGAGGGGTACAGGTTACAGTGTAGTGACACTGGTAGTGACAGGGTAGTGACAGGGCAGTTATACTGGTGTATGGAGGGACAGTGTACAGGTTACACTGATGTATGGAGGGACAGTGTACTGGTAGTGATAGGGGTACAGGTTTACTGGTGTATGGAGGGGACAGTGTACTGGTAGTGATGGGGGTACAGTGTACAGGTTACTGGTGTATGGAGGAAACAGTGGTATGGATACTGGTAGTGGTAGTGACAGGTACTGACAGGGGTACAGGTTGATGGTGTGTAGGAGACAGGTTACTGGTGTATGGAGGGGAAAGTGTGTACTGGTAGTGACAGGGGTACAGGTTACTGGTGTATGGAGGGGCACAGTGTACTGGTAGCAGAAAGACAGGGGGTACAGGTTACTGATGTATGGAGGGACAGTGTACTGTACTGGTAGTGACAGGGGGTACAGGTTACTGGTGTATGGAGGGACTGGTGGTGACAGTGTACTGGGTAGTGACAGGGTACAGGTTACTGGTGTATGGAGTGAGGGACAGTGTACTGGTAGTGAGACAGGGTACAGGTTACTGGTGTATGGAGGGCACAGTGTACTAAGTTTAGTAGTGACAGGGTTATACAGGGACAGTTACTGGTGTATGGAGTGACAGTGTACTGGTAGTGATGGAGGGGGTACAGGTTACTGGTGTATGGAGGGTATGGAGGACAGTGTACTGGTAGTGACAGGGGTACAGGTTACTGATGTATGGAGGGACAGGTACTGTACAGGGGTACAGGTACTAGTGACAGAGGTACAGTTACTGGTGTATGGAGGACAGTGTACTGGTATGTATGGAGGGAACAGTGACAGTGACAGGGGGTGACAGGTTACTGGTGTATGGCAGGAGGGACAGTGTACTGGTAGTGACAGGGGTAGATGTTACTGGTGTATGGAGGGCACAGTGTACTGGTAGTGACAGGGTACAGGTAGTGTACAGGGGTACAGTGTACTGGTAGTGACAGGGGTACAGGTTACTGGTGTAGTGGTAGTGACAGGGGTACATGGAGAGGAGACAGTGTACTGGTGGGGTAGATGTTACTGGTGTATGGAGAGGGCACAGTGTACTGGTAGTGACAGGTAGTACTGGTACTGGTGTATGGAGGGCACAGTGGGTAGTACAGGTTACAGGTGTATGGAGGGACAGTGTACTGGTAGTGATGGAGGCACAGGTACTGGTGTAGATGTTACTGGTGTATGGAGGACAGTGTACTGGTGTACTGGGTGTATACAGGAGGGGAGGGACATGTACAGTGTACTACAGGTAGTGCAGGGGGACAGTGTACTGGTAGTCAAAGGGGTACAGGTTACTGATGTATGGAGGGACACAGTGTACTGGTAGTGATGGGTGTACAGGTTACTGACGTGTATGGAGGGAAAGTGTACTGATAGTGACAGGGTACAGGTTAGTGGTGTATGGAGGGACAGTGTACTGGTAGTGACAGGGGTACAGGTTACTGGTGTATGGAGGGGCACAGTGTACTGGTATTGACAGGGGTACAGGTTACTGTTGTATTGAGTGGCACAGTGTACTGGTAGTGACGGGGTAGAGGTTACTGATGTATGGAGCGGAGAGTGTACTGGTAGTGACAGGGGTAGAGGTTACTGTTGTATTGAGGGTACAGTGTACTGGTAGTGACAGGGGTACAGGTTACTGGTGTATGGAGGGGACAGTGTACTGG